CAGACTTTTTTTTTAGTTGGTCATGGGGCTTGAACTCTGGGCTTGGGCACTGTCCCTCAGCTCTTCAGCTCAAGGTGAGCGCTCTACCGCTTGAGCCACAGCGCCACTTCTACTTTTCAGGTGGTTTATTGGAGATAAGAGTCTCACAGACTTTCCTGCCCAGGCTGGCTTTGAACCACAGTCCTCAGATCTCAGCCTCCTGAGTAGCTAGGATTATAGGTGTGAGCCACCGGTGCCCAGCCTGAGACTTTTTTTTTTTTTTGTCAATCCTGGGGCTTGATCTCAGGGCCTGGGCACTGTCTCTTAGCTTTTGCTCAATGCTAGCACTTTACCACTTGAGCCACAGTGCCACTTCTGGCTTTTTCTGTTTATGTTGTACTGAGGAACTGAACCCAGGGCTTCATGCCTGCTAGGCAAGCACTCACCACTGAGCCACCTTCCCAGCCTGAGCTGAGACTCCTTTGTCCAATTAACCATATACACACACACACAGCTGAAAGTAGAGCTGTGACTCAAGTGGTAGTCTTAACCCTTGAGCACAAAAGCTCAAGCCGGGCGCTGGCGGCTCACGCCTGTCATCCTAGCTATTCAGGAGGCTGAGATCTGAGGATCGCGGTTCAAAGCAGCCCAGGCAGGAAAGTCCAAGAGACTCTTATCTCCAATGAACCACTCAGAAAACTGGAAGTGGAGCTGTGGCTCAAGTGATAAAGTGCTAGCCTTGAGCTGAAGAGCTGAGGGACAGTGCCCAGAGTTCAAGCCCCACGGTGGACCAAAAAAAAAAAAAGCTCAAGGAAAGCAATCTGGCTGAATTCAAATTCAAGCCTCAGACAGGCACACATTGGACACAAATAGTGTTACAATTCATACACCATAAAATTCACCTTACTGCTATTTTAATAAGTTATCACATAACTGCCCTGACCCTGAATCTTAAACAGTTCTTGTTAGCTCCAAAATAAAGGCTTTCCTATTCTTCAATTCATGCCTCTCCTACTGAAACCCGAAGGCCTGCAAGGCTCTGTACCTCCCTGTGTAATCAATCACAGATGGTCATAAACTGTGAAGAAAAATTCAAGGGTGCTGTGCAATCAGGCTTTGACCCTGAATAGCTCAGCCAGCTGCTAGCTCATGTCACCAGCTAGCAGCCTCTGTCTCAACTGTGTCAGCAGCAAAATGAGCTGGTGAGCAATGGAGCTGCGGAATCCCTGACAAACCAGCTGTCAGTCAGGCGCCAAGGACCGGAGTCGCCTGTCCTGAGCACTGTATAGCAAGGTGTAAAGGCAGGCCTGGCCTGGAAGAGGAGAGTGGCAGGTGACAGTGCCCGCTTCACAGACAGCCATCCTCTCTGGCTTCTGTATCAGCCTTACCCCGTCTCCCAACAGGTGCCTTCCTCGGCACGGCTTTGGAGAATTGCCCAGTTAGAGGAGGTGAAAATGGTAGTGCTTGGCTTCAAGCCAGGTCAGAAAAGCCTTTTGTGTCTGCTGGTTCTCCTGAACCCTGGCTGTTTGCTTGCTCTGGAAACCTGGCTTTCATACTTGGGGATGCCTGGGTCACAGGGGTGTCTCCTGCTTGCCCAGGTCCATCCCTCCTGCCAGGGACTCACCCTGGGCCAGTTCTGAGTTAGGGCAGGCAGTGCCCACTGCCCACACCTCCCCTAGGCCAGCAGCTGTCCCTGCAGGAGGCGAGCCCCGCATTAAAACCTCACAGAAATGTCGACCTGACCACGAGACCTCGGCTCTGCAGTGGGTGTCTGCTTCACAGAGAGGATGTTTCTGGAGGAACAGAGCCGCAGGTCCCCTTCCTAGCCCCGGCCATGTGGAGGCCCTGCTCCCGGCTGGCGTGGCGATGGCCTGTGTCCTGAGAGCGCAGGTCTGGCTCCGCCTGGGATGGGGACTGAATCGGAAAGATGTTTTCTGTCTGTATGTGGTGCTAGGAATTGAGCTCAGGGCATGTTTTGCTTTCCAGTCCTTTGTGCTTTTGGTTTTTCAGATAGGGTCTCTCACTGTGGCCTTGTGTTGGGGATGTGATCTTCTGCCCTAGAGTAACCGGGATCACAAGCAGGAGCATCACAAGCAGGAGCACCTGCCTGCGCAGAAGGGTTTTCTTTCACCTCTGACCTTCCAGGCTCCTGCGGGCCTGGCCCCGAGGGACAGCTCAAGCTGGCGGGAGAGACAGCTGCCCAGGGCGCTGGGGGCGGCCTCCTCCCACGGGGGGCGCTGGGGGCGGCCTCCTCCCACGGGGGGCGCTGGGGACGCTCCTCCCACGGGGGGGCGCTGGGGGCGGCCTCCTCCCACGGGGGGGGGGCGCTGGGGGCGCTCCTCCCGCTGCCCAAGCCGCGTTCCATCACTTCAGGTAGACAGGCCGGTGTGCACCAGAGCATGCACACACTCTTGTGTGCGCGGGGGTGTGCAGGGGGGCATGCACGGGTGTGTGCTCGGAGGCGTGCACGGGTGTGTGATCGGAGGTGTGCACGGGTGTGTGCTCGGAGGCGTGCACGGTGTGTCCACGGGTGTGTGATAGGAGGCGTGCACGGTGTGTGTGCGCGGGTGTGTGATCGGAGGCGTGCACGGGTGTGTGCAGGGCGGCGTGCACGGGAGTGTCCACGGGTGTGTGATCGGAGGCGTGCAAGGTGTGTGCACGGGTGTGTGATCGGAGGCGTGCACGGTGTGTGTGCGCGGGTGTGTGATCGGAGGCGTGCACGGGTGTGTGCAGGGCGGCGTGCACGGTGTGTGTCCACGGGTGTGCTCGGAGGCGTGCACGGGTGTGTGCAGGGCGGCGTGCACAGGACTGTCCACGGGTGTGTGATCGGAGGCGTGCACGGTGTGTGTCCACGGGTGTGTGATCGGAGGCGTGCACTGGTGTGCTCGGAGGGTGCAGGGCTGTGCAGGGCAGCGCTGTCTGGGCCGCCCCGCCCTCGCGTTATCTCAGCCCCCAGATCCCGAGCCCCGCCCTCCCGCACTGCCCCCCTCCCGCACTCTCTACCCCGCACTGTCCTCCCCTGCATTGCCCCCCCCCAGCACCGCCTCCCGCACACCCCACCCACTCCGCCATCCCGATCCGCCCCCCCACCGCACTGATCCCCCGCCCCGATCCACCTCCCCCCCACTGATCCCCCGCCCCATCCACCTCCCCCCCCGCACTGATCCCCCGCCCCGATCCACCTCCCCCCCCCGCACTGATCCCCGCCCCGATCCACCCCCCCCCCGCACTGATCCCCCGCCCCGATCCACCTCCCCCCCACTGATCCCCCGCCCCGATCCACCTCCCCCCTCGCACTGATCCCCAGCCCCGATCCACCCCCCCCGCACTGATCCCCCGCCCCGATCTACCTCCCCCCCCCCCGCACTGATACCCCGCCCCGATCCACCTCCCCCCCCCCCCCGCACTGATCCCCCGCCCCGATCCACCTCCCCCCCCACGCACTGATCCCCCGCCCCGATCCACCCCCCCTCCCGCACTGATCCCCCGCCCCGATCCACCTCCCCCCCCCCCCCCCGCACTGATCCCCCGCCCCGATCCACCCCCCCTCCCGCACTGATCCCCCGCCCCGATCCACCTCCCCCCCCCGCACTGATCCCCCGCCCCGATCCACCTCCCCCCCCCCGCACTGATCCCCCGCCCCGATCCACTCCCCCCCCCCCGCACTGATCCCCCGCCCCGATCCACCTCCCCCCCCCCGCGCTGATACCCCGCCCCGATCCACCTCCCCCCCCCGCACTGATCCCCCGCCCCGATCCACCCCCCCCCGCACTGATCCCCCGCCCCGATCCACTTCCCCCCCCCCGCACTGATCCCCCGCCCCGATCCACCCCCCCTCCCGCACTGATCCCCCGCCCCGATCCACCTCCCCCCCCCGCACTGATCCCCCGCCCCGATCCACCCCCCCTCCCGCACTGATCCCCCGCCCCGATCCACCTCCCCCCCCCCGCACTGATCCCCCGCCCCGATCCACCCCCCCCCCGCACTGATCCCCCGCCCCGATCCACCCCCCCCCCCCGCACTGATCCCCCGCCCCGATCCACTCCCCCCCCCCCTCACTGATCCCCCGCCCCGATCCACCTCCCCCCCCCCGCACTGATACCCCGCCCCGATCCACCTCCCCCCCCCCGCACTGATCCCCCGCCCCGATCCACCCCCCCCCCGCACTGATCCCCCGCCCCGATCCACCCCCCCCGCCCGCACTGATCCCCCGCCCCGATCCACTCCCCCCCCCCGCACTGATCCCCCGCCCCGATCCACCTCCCCCCCCCCGCACTGATACCCCGCCCCGATCCACCCCCCCCCCCCCGCACTGATCCCCCGCCCCGATCCACTTCCCCCCCCCCCCCGCACTGATCCCCCGCCCCGATCCACCTCCCCCCCCCCGCACTGATCCCCCGCCCCGATCCACTCCCCCCCCGCACTGATCCCCCGCCCCGATCCACTCCCCCCCCGCACTGATCCCCCGCCCCGATCCACTTCCCCCCCCCCGCACTGATCCCCCGCCCCGATCCACCTCCCCCCCCCCCCGCGCTGATACCCCGCCCCGATCCACCCCCCCCCCCGCACTGATCCCCCGCCCCGATCCACTCCCCCCCCGCACTGATCCCCCGCCCCGATCCACTTCCCCCCCCCCTGCACTGATCCCCCGCCCCGATCCACCCCCCCCCCCCCCCGCACTGATCCCCCGCCCTGATCCACCTCCCCCCCCCCCCCCGCGCTGATACCCCGCCCCGATCTCCCCCCATTTTCCCCCCCATCCCCCCTCCCGCGCAGGCTCGGCGAGCCCGGCCGTCCCCGTCCCTCCGGGCTGCGCAGTCCGTCTGCCGGCCGCTCCCCGCCGCCCGGTCCCGCCGCCCCGGTCCCCGCCGCCAGGTCCCCGCCGCCCGGTCCCGCCGCCCGGTCCCCGCCGCCCCGGTCCCGCCGCCCCGGTCCCGCCGCCCGGTCCCGCCGCCCCGGTCCCCGCCGCCCGCTCCCCGCCGCCCGGTCCCGCCGCCCGGTCCCCGCCGCCCGGTCCCCGCCGCCCGGTCCCCGCCGCCCGGTCCCCGCCCGGGCCATGGAGCAGCTGCTGCGCGCCGAGCTGCGCACCGCCCGGCTGCGGGCCTTCGGGAGCCCCGGGCCCGGGGAGATCAGCGAGGGTCAGGCCTACGACACCGACGCGGGGCCCGTGTTCGTCAAGGTCAACCGCAGGCCGCAGGTGCGGGGGAGGGGGGAGGGCAGTGCGGGGAGGGAGGGGAGGGCAGTGCGGGGAGGGGGAGGGGCAGTGCGGGGAGGGGGAGGGGCAGTGCGGGGAGGGGGAGGGGCAGTGCGGGGAGGGGGAGGGGCAGTGCGGGGAGGGGGAGGGGCAGTGCGGGGAGGGGGGCAGTGTGGGGGGAGGGGAGGGCAGTGCGGGGAGGGGGAGGGGCAGTGCGGGGAGGGGGGCAGTGTGGGGGGAGGGGAGGGCAGTGCGGGGAGGGGGAGGGGCAGTGCGGGGAGGGGGGCAGTGTGGGGGGAGGGGAGGGCAGTGCGGGGAGGGGGAGGGGCAGTGCGGGGAGGGGGGCAGCGGGTGGAGTGGAGTGGACGCTCCCCCCTCCTCCTCCTCCCTCCGCCCCTCCTCCCCCTCTTCTCCCCCCTCCCCCTCCCCTCCCTCCGCGCAGACAGTGCTCTGTGCTCCGACTCCGCTCCAGCTCGGCCTTCTTCCGCCTGCCACTTTATACACACGGAGTCTCACCGGGAGGCTGGGGTTGAGGGTGCACCCAGGGCTCACACACACAGGCTGAGCTCAGTCCCGCGTGTGCACACGTGTGTGTGTGAGGGTGCACTCAGTGCTGAGGGCTCGCTCGCACACACAGGCTGAGCTCAGTCAGTCCCGCGTGTGCACACGTGTGTGTGTGAGGGTGCACCCAGGGCTCACACACACAGGCTGAGCTCAGTCCCGCGTGTGCACACGTGTGTGTGAGGGTGCACTCAGGGCTCACACACAGGCTGAGCTCAGTCCCGCGTGTGCACACGTGTGTGTGTGAGGGTGGCGCTCGCTGGTAGAGGGCCTGCGTGTGCGCACACAGGCCCCGAGTTCACTCCCCAGTGTGTGTGCATGGGCACGCGTGTGGGAGGCAAAGGTCGTGTTGCAGCTCTAGTACTATGTTTAAAAAGTGCCTATTTTTCACTGCATGGCAAACAGCAGGGAAGAATTCGTCTGATGTAACACTGGGATGTTTAGGGTGATGTTCTAGAAACAAGAGGGCGGGGGTGAGCTGGATGTGTCTCCTTCAGTGCCCGGCCCCGCCGTGGTGCTGCCCTGGAGGACGGCGCAGCCGCAGCCCGCCCTGCCTCCCTGCGTCCCAGGCCTGCAGACCAGACCCCTCCGCCCTCCGGCTCAGCCTCAGGAAGGGGCTTCTTTCTTTCACCACCTGAGTGGTAGTGCCGTTTGCGCTTTCAGTAACGGAAGAGCTCTGGGGTTGTGATTCTTGTAGCTACCTTTTGTCAAGGGCCATGAGCGGCGCAGCCCAGCAGGCAGAGGCTTCTGCTGGAGCTGGAGCTTGCAGACTCTGCCAGCAAGGCTCATGGAACTGCTTGGCGACAGGCCCGGAAGATGTTTGAGGGGGAGAGGGCAAGCCTGGAGGCCCTCCACAGCACAGGCCTGGTGCGGGTGCCACAGCCCAGAAAGGTGATCGACCTGCCGGGAGGTGGGGCAGCCTTTGTCATGGAGTATGTGAAGATGAAGAGGTTGGGCAGGTGAGTGTGGGAGAGGGACCCCCCCCCATGCGCACACGCACACACACACAGCCAGAAAAAGACAGAGAAACCTGACTGCAGAGACACAGGTGCAAGAGAGACCACAGAGAACAGAGACAGACAGACAGACACACAGAGAAACAGGAGCAGCTTCGGATGCACTGCCTGCATAACTCAGCACAATTACACACAAGTTCGTGTGTGTGTGTGTGTGTGTGTGCGCGCGCGCACACGCCAGTCCTTGGGCTTGAACTCAGGGCCTGGGTGCTGTCCCTGAGCTTTTTTGCTCAAGTCTAGTGCTCTACCTCTTGAGCCACAGCACCACTTCTGTTTTTGTTATTGGAGATAAGAGTCCCAAGGGCTTTCCTGCCCAAGCTAGCTTTCAACTATGATCCTCAGATCTCAGCCTCCAGAACTGTTGAGAATCCAGGTGTGAGCCGCCCTGCCCAGCCCAGCTCTTGAGTTTTTTGCTCAGGGCTGGTGCTCTCACTGGAGCCCAGGCTCCGTTCAGTTCTGGTTAACTGAAGACAAGGGTCTCAGGGCCACCTGAGCCTGGAGCGTGGCTCAGAGTTCCTGCTAAGTGGAGATAAGGGTGTTTATTTCTCTGTATGCTATTTTTTTTTTTTTTGAGGAAAGAGTAGTTTGGCTGTGATAAGGCTATATTAAACAAATAGAGCTTATTCCTTGCTTTGTACTTTTGTTGTTGTTGGGGCTTGAACTCTGGTCCTGGGCTGTCCCTCAGCTCTTCAGCTCAAGGCTAGCGCTCTACCACTTGAGCCACAGCACTACTTCTGTGTTTTTCTGCTTATGTGGTCTGAGGACTTGAACCCAGGGCCCTATGCATGCAAGGCAAGCGCCCTACTACTGAGCCACCATCCCAGGCCTGGGCTTTTTTTTTTTAACTGTACTTCTTTTTTGTCTTTTTTTTTTTTTGGTACTGGGTCAAACCCAGGATGCTGCCCTGGTTAAGCAAGCGCTTTGCCACTGAGCTACATCCCAGCCCTTGCTTTGTACTTCAGAGTATACAAAATGCCAGCTCAATTAGGGCTGAACCAGGCTGGTCTATTAGCTACGGTCTTCATTTTCTTTTCTAATTATGAGGGTCCTACATATCCATGTGCAAAATATTGGAGATGCAAGCTCAAGGCTTCCAGTCCCTCATAATTCCATAAGCGAGGAGTGCAGACTACTTGAGTCTTAGCACATAGCTGTCATTGCAGTATTTTCCCTTTATTTTGTATTTGTTCTTGCAGAAGTGGCAGCTAAGGCTTCACTTCACTCACTCTTTGAAGCTCTGTGCCTGGCATTTCTTCTGTGCCCGTTGGATGGCTGCAGGAGTTCTCATGCCGGGCTCCCTTTCCCGACTTCATGCTACTTTTGGGGGGAAGGATGGGTCATATGTAGCACTCACTTTTTAGTTTTGTAGTAGAGAGTAGCTTTTAAAACACTTCAGACTGAAACACGCTGGTTGGGACTACCACTTGCTGTTTTAACTGTCCTATGGTTGCTATTTTAATTGCTATATTTCTTCTTTCTTTAGCCAGGCGTCAAAACTTGGGGACCAGATAGCAGATTTACACCTTTTTAACCAGAAGCTCAGGGAGAAGCTGCAGCAGAGGGAGAACACCGTGGGTGCGTGCCCTCTGTTCCGTCACCCTTTCCATGCTGCACTGACCACCCTCGAGCGGCGCCCATGGCGCCCCGCCTTTTTTTCCCTTGTGCTAGTCCTGGGGGCTTGAACTCAGGGTCTGGGCACTGACTCAATACTAGTGCCCAGGGGCTGGGAAGGTGGCTCAGTGGTAGAGTGCTTGCCTTGCATGCTCGAGGCCCTGGGTTTGATTCCTTACACCACATAAGCAAAAAGAAAAAAGCCGGAAGTGGCGCTGTGGCTCAAGTGGTAGAGCGCTCGCCTTGAGCTGAAGAGCTGAGGGACAGCGCCCAGGCCCAGAGTTCAGGCCCCACGACCGGACCCAAAAAAAAAAAACAAAACACTAGTGCCCTACCACTGGAACCACAGCTCCCCACTTCTAGCTTTCTTTGGTGGCTAATTAGAGATAAGAGGCTTACAACTTTCCTGCCAGGCTGGCATTGGACTGTGATCCTCAGATCACAGCCTCCCTGAGAAGCTGGGATTATGGTCGTGAGCCACCGGTATTGTGGTAATAGGTTGGATGGAATGTCATCACACTTTACCCTGCATTATGAAAAATAGGATTATTAAACAAGAGTTCTTATGAAGCTGATAAGTCAGTAGAATTGGTATGTGGTCCCTTCCATGCCCAGCCTTGCGGCTTGCTCAGTGGACTGCAGAGTCCGAGCAAGTCTGTATGCTGGCTACTCACCCCCATGCATAATGTGCTTTCCAACCACCCACATTCTAGCATGTACAGCCAGGCTGTCAGGAACCGCTCTGTAGAAAACTGGGAAAGAAAATGGAGACTTCAGAAAAGGATGGTCAGCTCCCTGAGGCTAGGACCTCTGTTTACAGGCCACAGAGCTGAGGGTGCTGAGACCCAATATGTGAGCAAGTTCGGCTTCCACACCGTCACCTTCTGCGGCTTCATCCCTCAGGTGAGTGCCTGGGTGAAGACATCCCTACTCCCGAGGCCCAGGACTGCTACCTGACCCCTTGTGTGTCCCCAGGCATCAGATCAACCGCCTGACTTGTGAAGGCAGAGGGTAGGCTGTGACATCTGTGTGGAGAGGCTCCCTGGGGGGCTGGGAGTGGGAGGGGGTGGTGGTGATTGGGGAGTAGTGTTCTAGTACCCCAGTTCCAGTATTTCAGGCAGACAGAACAGTGGTGCAAATGTCATGTGCTGTGTGTATGTGAGAGAATGGAACAGGGGAGGACAGCTCATCTTCCAGGACCTTTCAAAGCAGTATTATTCAGTTGTAGGGCTTGAACTCAGGGCCTCGGCACTGTTCCTGAGCTCTTTATCTCATGGCTAGTACTTTGAGCCACAGAACGACTTCTGGTTTTGTGGAGGTTTACTAGAAATACGAGTCTCACAGACTTTCCTGCCCAGGCTGGCTTTGAACTGAGATTCTCAGATCTCAGCTCCCTGAGTAGCTAGGATGACAGGCGTGAGCCACCAGCATGTCTTGTCTTCTTTTGTTCTTGTCTTCTCTCTTTTTCATCTGATCAGTCTGGCTAGAAGTTTATCAGTTTTACTAATCTTATAAAACTACGTCTTAGCATATTGATTTTCCTTTTTAATTCATTAATATGTGCGTGCTGGTCTTGGGGCTTAAACTCAGGGTCTGGGTACTGTCCTTGAGCTTTTTTGCTCTACCACTTGAGCCACAGTACCACTTCTGGCTTTATCTGCTTATGTGGTGTTGAGGAATCGAACCCAGGGCCGCATGCATGCAAGGCAAGCACTCTACCATATCACTGAGCCACCTTCCCAGCCCTTTTTCTTTTTGCATATGAAATACACATCTGCATGCATCTTACTGTTGGTTTTTGCTTTAGCCATTTGTTAATGCCTGTTGTTAGAGTATTTTTGACCATTTTCATTATGGGTGTGTTTATTGATCTATTGGGGTTTGAGTCTGTCACTTTACTTGTCTGTTCTTTGTTTCCTTTGCCCTACCTTCTTCTGGATGAAATTTAAAAATTTCATAACAGAGCTTGACCTCAAGAACTTTTGCTCATTTTGCTTTTTTTTTTTTTTTTGTTGGTCACAGGGCTTGAACTCTGAGCTTGGGCACTGTTGCTCAGCTCTTAGCTCAGGGCAAGCACTCTATCTCTTAAGCTACAGCGCCACTTCCAGTTTTCTGGTGGTTTATTGGAGATAGGAGTCTCACGGTCTTTCCTGTCTGGGCTGGCTTTGAACTGCAATCCTCAGTTCTCAGCCTCCTGAGTAGCTAGGATTATAGGCACGAGCCACTAGTGCCCAGCTCATTTCACTTTTTTGCTTTGCTTTTGTCCTCACAGTTGGCACTTTACTACTTGAGCCATGCCTCTAGTCTGGCATTTTTGCTAGATAATTGGAGATAGAATTATTTTGGATTTTTCTGCCCAGATTGGCTTTAAGCTGTCATGTTCAGATTTCAGCCTCCTGTTGAGTTAGGATTATAAGCATGGGCCACCAGTACCCGGTCTTGGATACACTGAATTATGATTCTAGTTACCTTTTCATTTGACTGATTAGTTATGGTACTTGCTATATCCTTTTGTTGTTGTTGTTGTTAGTTGTGGGTCTTGAACTCGGCTTGGGTGCTGTCCTCATGCTCTTCAGCTCAAGGTAAGCGCAGTGCCCCTTCTGGTTTTCTGGTGGTTTATTGGAGATAAGTCTCATGGACTTTCCTGCCTGGCTGGTTCTGAACTGTGATCCTCAGGTCTCAGCCTCCTGAGTAGCTAGGATGACAGGTGTGAGCCACCAGCGCCTAGCTACTTGCTATATTCTTTTAATGACTGCTCTGGTGTTTGGGCAGATTCTAGATGTAACTGCCCTGTTGCTCTGAGTTGCAGTACTGGCCTCTTTTGTTTTTCAGGTGAATGACTGGCAGGATGACTGGCCGAGCTTTTTCACTCAGCACCGGCTGCAAGCACAACTGGACCTCATTGAGAAGGCCTACGGTGACAGAGAGGCTCGAGAGCTCTGGTCAAGGCTACAGGTGAGCAGTCAGGGGAGACGGTCAAGCTGAGTGCGCATTAGTGGCCTTGGCTCCCGAGGGCGCCTTTCCCGCTCAGGTCTCCAAGCATCAGCTGAGACTTGCTTTCCTCATGTGCCCGGGTCTGGGGCCACCGAGTGGTGGTCTTCACTACCATTATTGGGAGTCCGTGTCCCCCTGTGCCCTGACAGTCCCAGTCCCTCTTAGGTACTGTGTGGTGAGTACTTACACGCGGGTCCCGCCACATAGCTTTCAAAATGACCCTCGGACAGCGCCAGACACACGGCCGCGTGTGTCAGTCCGGTGAGCGTGTCAGCTGAGCGTGTCAGGGAGGCCGAGCTCCCCGGCGCTGCAGACAACAGAAAGCAGCCTGGCCTCCTGCGGGATCCGCGGCTCCGGGGCTCGGCCTGCGGGATCCGCGGCTCCGGGGCTCAGGGGGCTCGGCCTGCGGGAACGGCGGCTCCGGGGCTCCGGGGCTCGGCCTGCGGGAACGGCGGCTCCGGGGCTCGGCCTGCGGGAACGGCGGCTCCGGGGCTCAGGGGGCTCGGCCTGCGGGAACGGCGGCTCCGGGGCTCGGCCTGCGGGAACGGCGGCTCCGGGGCTCGGCCTGCGGGATCCGCGGCTCCGGGGCTCGGCCTGCGGGATCCGCGGCTCCGGGGCTCGGCCTGCGGGATCCGCGGCTCCGGGGCTCGGCCTGCGGGATCCGCGGCTCCGGGGCTCGGCCTGCGGGAACGGCGGCTCCGGGGCTCGGCCTGCGGGAACGGCGGCTCCGGGGCTCCGGGGCTCGGCCTGCGGGATCCGCGGCTCCGGGGCTCGGCCTGCGGGATCCGCGGCTCCGGGGCTCGGCCTGCGGGATCCGCGGCTCCGGGGCTCGGCCTGCGGGAACGGCGGCTCCGGGGCTCGGCCTGCGGGAACGGCGGCTCCGGGGCTCCGGGGCTCGGCCTGCGGGATCCGCGGCTCCGGGGCTCGGCCTGCGGGATCCGCGGCTCCGGGGCTCGGCCTGCGGGATCCGCGGCTCCGGGGCTCGGCCTGCGGGAACCGCGGCTCCGGGCTCGGCCTGCGGGAACCGCGGCTCCGGGCCGCGTGGGCCTCGGCGACTCGAGCGTCGTCCGGCCCGCGCCCACGGCCCGCGCCCGGCAGGTGCGGGTCCCGGACCTGTTCCGCGGGCTGGAGGTGGAGCCCGCGCTGCTGCACGGAGACCTGTGGGCGGGGAACGCGGCGGAGGACGGCGCGGGGCCGCTGCTCTACGACCCCGCGTCCTTCTACGGCCACTCCGAGCTCGACCTGGCCACCGCGTCCGCCTTCGGGGGCTTCCCCGCGCCCTTCTTCGCCGCCTACCACCGCAAGCTGCCCCGGGCCCCGGGCTTCGAGGGGCGGCTGCGGCTCTACCGGCTCTTCAACTACCTCAACCACTGGAACCACTTCGGGCGCGCGTACCGGGCCGCGGCCCTGGGCGCCATGCGGGAGCTGCTGGGGTAGCAGGGCCGCGCGGGGAGCCCTGGCGCGCGGGGCGGGCGGGGCGGCCGGAGCCCCTCCCAATAATAAAGGGAGCCCGCGCGGGCTCGGACCGCAGCCGAGTGTGCGCCGCGCCGACAGCGGGAGGGCGGGGCGTCCGGGGGCGGGGCGTCCGGGGGGCGGGGCGTCCGGGGGCGGGGCGTCCGCGGCGCGGGGCGTCCGGGGGGCGGGGCGTCCGGGGGCGGGGCGTCCGCGGCGCGGGGCGTCCGGGGGGCGGGGCGTCCGGGGGCGGGGCGTCCGCGGTGCGGGGCGTCCGGGGGCGGGGCGTCCGGGGGGCGGGGCGTCCGGGGGCGGGCGCGTCCGGGGGGCGGGGCGTCCGGGGGGTGGGGCGCCCGGGGGGCGGGGCGTCCGCGGGCGGGGCGTCCGGGGGGCGGGGCGTCCGCGGCGCGGGGCGTCCGGGGGCGGGGCGTCCGCCGCGGGGCGCCTTCACGACCCCCCTACCCCATTACTGCCACTGGCGTTGCTATTTCCGGTGCGGGTCCTGGGCGCGAACGCCGGGCGCGGTCCCGGAGCTTTTGTGCTCAAGGCTGCCTCCCCACTCCGTTTCCGGCTTTTGGGCGTTCAGGACTGTCAGCGCTGAAAGGCCCGGCCCAGCTTCCCGCCCCGACTTCCGGAGCTCAGCCCCGGCGGTCAGACCGGCTCCGCCCGGCGGCCGGCGCGCCCAGACCCGGCGGGCCCCGCCCCTGCCGCGCCCGGGGCTCAGACCCCGCCCACCCTAGCCACGCCCACCTTCCATCTCCGCCCACCCGCGCCTCACCTCACGGCCCCGCCCTCCACCTCGCCCCTCACCTCACGGCCACGCCCCCCACCCTCCCGTCATGCCCGCCTCCCTCGTCACCCCGCGCGACCGGCGCCTGCGCGCTCGCGTCGGCCCTGGCCCGCGGGTTCCGGGTGGGGCCTGCCAGGAGGCGGCTCCGCTTTCCCTGGGCCACGGGAAGGCGTACGCATGCGTTCTGAGCGCGCTGCGTCGCCTCGCCGCTCCGCGCGTGCTCTCTGGGCGCTCGGCACGCCCTGCAGGGGTCAGAGGCCGCGGGGCGGGGCCGGCAGCGGCTGGCGCGCTTCTCTGCAGCAGCGGCTCGGCGGGAGCGGCGCGGAGCTCGCCGGCGCCGGCCTCCCCGAGCGGCCCGCGCTCCGGAATGGCCCTCGGCGAGGCGCCGTCCCCGGGCGCCGCGGAGGCGGCGGCGGCGGAGGAGGAGGACGCGCCCGGCCGCGGCGCCTCCCTGGAAGCCTTCGGCGAGAGCGCGGCGGTCCGCGCGCTGCTGGGCCGCCTGCGGGAGCTGCACGGCGAGCCCGTGCTGCGGGAGGTGGCGGAGCAGCAGTTCCGCGGTGCGGGCGGCGGCGGGGCGGGATGCGGGGCTCGGCAGGGCGCGGCGGGGCGGCGGGACGGGCTGCGGGATGGGATGCGGGGCGGGGTGGCGGCGGGGCGGGATGCGGGGCTCGGCAGGGCGCGGCGGGGCGGCGGGACGGGCTGCGGGACGGGGCGGGGCGGGGCGGGGTGGCGGCGGGGCGGGATGCGGGGCTCGGCAGGGCGCGGCGGGGCGGCGGGACGGGCTGCGGGATGGGATGCGGGGCGGGGGTGGCGGCGGGGCGGGATGCGGGGCTCGGCGGGACGGGGCGGGGCGGGGCGGCGGGACGGGCTGCGGGATGGGATGCGGGGCGGGGCGGCGGCGGGGCGGGATGCGGGGCTCGGCGGGACGGGGCGGGGCGGCGGGACGGGCTGCGGGATGGGATGCGGGGCGGGGGTGGCGGCGGGGCGGGATGCGGGGCTCGGCAGGGCGCGGCGGGGCGGGGCGGGACGGGGCGGGACGGGGCGGGGCGGGGCGGGGCGGCGGGACTGTGGAAGGCCGGGTTACCTCTCATGCCCACGGTCTTGGGGACCGCCGCGTGTGTGTGAGCACCCTGCGTGTGTGAGCACCCTGCGTGTGTGAGCACTCTGCGTGTGTGAGCACCCTGCGTGTGTGAGCACCCTGCGTGTGTGTGAGCACTCTGTGTGTGAGCACCCTGCGTGTGTGAGCACCCTGCGTGTGTGAGCACCCTGCGTGTGTGAGCACCCTGTGTGTGAGCACCCTGCGTGTGTGTGAGGACCCTGCGTGTGTGTGAGCACCCTGCGTGTGTGTGAGCACCCTGCGTGTGTGAGCACCCTGCGTGTGTGTGAGGACCCTGCGTGTATGTGTGAGCACCCTGCGTGTGTGTGAGCACCCTGCGTGTGTGTGAGCACTCTGTGTGTGAGCGCCCTGCGTGTGTGAGCACCCTGCGTGTGTGAGGACCCTGCGTGTGTGTGAGCACCCTGCGTGTGTGAGGACCCTGCGTGTGTGTGAGGACCCTGCGTGTGTGAGCACCCTGTGTGTGTGAGGACCCTGCGTGTGTGTGAGCACCCTGCGTGTGTGAGCACCCTGCGTGTGTGTGAGCACCCTGCGTGTGTGAGCACCCTGCGTGTGTGTGAGCACCCTGTGTGTGAGCACCCTGCGTGTGTGTGAGCACCCTGCGTGTGTGAGCACCCTGCGTGTGAGCACCCTGCGTGTGTGTGAGCACCCTGTGTGTGTGAGCACCCTGCGTGTGTGTGAGGACTCTGTGTGTGAGGACCCTGTGTGTGTGAGCACCCTGCGTGTGTGTGAGCACTCTGTGAGCACCCTGCGTGTGTGTGAGCACCCTGCGTGTGTGAGCACCCTGCGTGTGTGTGAGCACTCTGTGTGTGAGCACCCTGCATGTGTGAGCACCCTGCGTGTGTGAGCACCCTGCGTGTGTGTGAGCACCCTGCGTGTGTGAGCACCCTGCGTGTGTGAGCACCCTGCGTGTGTGTGAGGACCCTGCGTGTATGTGTGAGCACCCTGCGTGTGTGTGAGCACCCTGCGTGTGTGAGCACCCTGCGTGTGTGAGCACCCTGTGTGTGTGAGGACCCTGTGTGTGTGTGAGCACCCTGCGTGTGTGAGCGCCCTGTGTGTGAGCACCCTGCGTGTGTGAGCACCCTGTGTGTGTGAGGACCCTGCGTGTGTGTGAGGACCCTGCGTGTGTGTGAGCACCCTGCGTGTGTGAACACCCTGTGTGTGTGAGGACCCTGCGTGTGTGTGAGCACCCTGCGTGTGTGAGCACCCTGTGTGTGAGCACCCTGTGTGTGTGAGGACCCTGCGTGTGTGAGCACCCTGGTTGTGTGAGGACCCTGCGTGTGTGTGAGCACCCTGTGTGTGTGAGGACCCTGTGTGTGAGCACTCTGTGTGTGTGAGCACCCTGCGTGTGTGTGAGCACCCTGCGTGTGTGTGTGAGGACCCTGCTTGTGTGAGGACCTTGCGTGTGTGTGAGCACCCTGTGTGTGTGAGGACCCTGTGTGTGAGCACTCTGTGTGTGAGCACCCTGTGTGTGTGTGAGCATCCTGCGTGTGTGTGAGCACCCTGTGTGTGTGTGAGCACTCTGTGTGTGTGAGCACCCTGTGTGTGTGTGAGCACCCTGCGTGTGTGTGAGCACCCTGTGTGTGTGAGGACCCTGTGTGTGTGAGCACCCTGCGTGTGTGTGAGCACTCTGTGTGTGAGCACCCTGCGTGTGTGTGAGCACTCTGTGTGTGTGAGCACCCTGCGTGTGTGTGAGCACTCTGTGTGTGAGCACCCTGCGTGTGTGTGAGTACCCTGCGTGTGTGTGAGCACTCTGTGTGTGAACACCCTGCGTGTGTGAGCACCCTGCTTGTGTGTGAGCACCCTGCGTGTGTGTGAGCACCCTGTGTGTGAGGACCCTGTGTGTGAGCACTCTGTGTGTGAGCACCCTGCGTGTGTGTGAGCACCCTGCGTGTGTGTGAGCACTCTGTGTGAGCACCCTGCGTGTGTGTGAGCACTCTGTGTGTGTGAGCACCCTGTGTGTGTGTGAGCACCCTGTGTGTGTGTGAGCACCCTGCGTGTGTGTGAGCACTCTGTGTGTGTGAACACCCTGCGTGTGTGAGCACCCTGCGTGTGTGAGCACCCTGCGTGTGTGTGAGCACTCTGTGTGTGAGCACCCTGCGTGTGTGTGAGCACTGTGTGTGAGCACCCTGCGTGTATGTGAGCACCCTGCGTGTGTGTGAGCACTCTGTGTGTGTGAACACCCTGCGTGTGTGAGCACCCTGCGTGTGTGAGCACCCTGCGTGTGTGTGAGCACCCTGCGTGTGTGTGAGGACCCTGCGTGTGTGTGAGCACCCTGCGTGTGTGAGGACCCTGCGTGTGTGTGAGCACCCTGCGTGTGTGTGAGGACCCTGTGTGTGTGAGCACCCTGTGTGTGTGAGCACCCTCCGTGTGTGAGGACCCTGCGTGTGTGAGGACCCTGTGTGTGTGTGAGGACCCTGCGTGTGTGTGAGGACCCTGCGTGTGTGAGGACCCTGCGTGTGTGAGCACTCTGCGTGTGTGAGCACCCTGCGTGTGTGTGTGAGGACCCTGCGTGTGTGAGCACCCTGCGTGTGTGTGAGCACCCTGCGTGTGTGTGAGCACCCTGTGTGTGTGAGCACCCTGCGTGTGTGTGAGCACCCTGCGTGTGTGTGAGGTCCCTGCGTGTGTGTGAGCACCCTGCGTGTGTGAGCACCCTGCGTGTGTGTGAGCACCCTGCGTGTGTGTGAGCACCCTGCGTGTGTGAGGACCCTGCGTGTGTGAGCACCCTGCGTGTGTGTGAGCACCCTGCGTGTGTGAGGACCCTGCGTGTGTGAGGACCCTGCATGTGTGAGGACAGCTGCGTGTGTGAGCACTCTGCATGTGCGTGAGGACCCTGCATGTGAGGACCCTGAGTGTGTGTGAGCACCCTGCGTGTGTGTGAGCACCCTGCGTGTGTGAGCACCCTGCGTGTGTGTGAGCACCCTGTGTGTGAGGACCCTGCGTGTTTGAGGACCCTGTGTGTGTGAACACCCTGCGTGTGTGAGCCCCCTGCGTGTGAGCCCCCTGTGTGTGTGAGCACCCTGCGTGTGTGAGCACCCTGCGTGTGTGAAGACCCTGCGTGTGTGTGAGCACCCTGCGTGTGTGAGGACCCTGCATGTGTGAGGACCCTGTGTGTGTGAGCACCCTGCGTGTGTGAGCACCCTGTGTGTGTGTGAGCACCCTGCGTGTATGAGCACCCTGCGTGTGTGTGAGGACCCTGCTTGTGTGAGCACCCTCCGTGTGTGTGAGGACCCTGCATGTGTGAGGACCCTGTGTGTGTGTGAGCACTCTGCGTGTGTGAGCACCCTGTGTGTGTGAGCACCCTGTGTGTGTGAGCACCCTGTGTGTGTGTGAGCACTCTGCGTGTGTGAGCACCCTGCGTGTGTGTGAGCACCCTGCGTGTGTGAGGACCCTGCGTGTGTGAGGACCCTGTGTGTGTGAGCACCCTGCGTGTGTGAGCACCCTGCGTGTGTGTGAGCACCCTGCGTGTGTGAGCACCCTGCGTGTGTGAGGACCCTGTGTGTGTGAGGACCCTGTGTGTGTGAGGACCCTGCGTGTGTGTGGACCCCTGCGTGTGTGAGGACCACTCTGGGTGTGTGTGCACCGTGGTGTATGTGGACTGCATGCGTGTGTGAGGACCCTGCGTGTGTGAGGACCCTGCGTGTGTGAGGACCCTGCGTGTGTGTGGACCCCTGCGTGTGTGAGGACCCTGTGTGTGTGAGTACTCCCCTGCGTGTGTGAGGACCCTGCATGTGTGAGGATCCTGCGTGTGTGAGGACCCTGCGTGTGTGTGGACTGCATGCGTGTGTGAGGACCCTGTGTGTGTGAGTACTCCCCTGCGTGTGTGAGTACTCCCCTGTGTGTGTGTACTACTGTGCACAGCACTGTGTGTGTGTGGAGCACTGTGTGAGGACCAGCCTCCATCCTACATGTGTTTGGACCTCTGTGTGTACATATTGTACGTGTGTGAGTGGACTGCCATGAGTGTATATGGATCGCTGTGTGTGCACATTGGTGTGTGTGGGTAGCCTCGAGTGTGCATTGCCTTGTGTATACCACTGAGAGTGTGAGGACCACCCTTCATATGTGTGGACCTCTGTGTTTTTGGATGTACTGCTGTATGTGTCTGCACCACGATGTGTGCACTGCCATGAGTGTGTGCACCATGTATGTGCCACTGTACCACTGTGTGTAGACCACTGAGTGTGTGCATTGTCCTGTGTGTGTGCGTGCATGTGCGGACTGCCGTGTGTGTACCAGTGTGTGTGGGCTGCCTTGCGTGTGTGGACTCCTGTGTGTGTGCACACATTGCCATGTGTGTGGACTGCTGTGTGTAGACTGGTGTGTGTGCTCTTCCGTGTGTGTGTACTGCTGTGCGTATGGATGGCTGTGTGTGGACTGTCGTGTGTCCGCCTCCGTGTGTGTGCAGTGCTCTGTGTGTATGGCTGCGTGTGGGCTGCCGTGTGTGTGTATGGCCTGCTGTGTGTGGACATGAGGAAAACACAGGCATAGAGAACACACACCACTTCCACAGCCACAGAAGCAGCCTGCAGAGGGGGAAGGGAAGGAGTAGGCACTTGGGGGCTCTGTCCGGACTCTGGGAAGTCAGTGAGGACCAGGGCTGTAGGCAGGGCCAGAGAGTGGGCCGTCCCAGCGTGTCCTCTGCATTTAGACCTTTGCAGCCATTTATGATGGATGATCCCCCAAGGAGGTTTTTGATAATTAACTGTGGCCATTTTTGTGAAACTGTATAGCTTAAGAAATCTCTCTTGCCGGGTGCTGGTGGCTCACGCCTGTAATCCTAGCTACTCAGGAGGCTGAGATCTGAGGATCGCGGTTCAAAGCCAGCCCGGGCAAGAGAGACCGTGAGACTCCTATCTCCAATAAACCACCAGAAAACCGGAAGTGGTGTTGTAGCTCAAGTGGTAGAGCGCTCGCCTTGAGCTGAAGAGCTGAGGGACAGCGCCCAGGCCCAGAGTTCAAGCCCCACGACCGATCAAAAAAAAAAAAAAAAAAAAGAAATCTCTCTGTAATTTTGCTTGGTTGAAATGACTGATTTTGGAAGGTTCAGAGTGGTGGGCTTCGGGGAAAGCGTGTAGGCTTTGGTGTTGCAGGCCTTGGTTTTGAACCCATTTCACAGGGCTATTTACTTGATGACTGAGTCTTGGTTTCTTCAGTTGTAAATTTGGGTTCGTGGCAACAGTATCTCATTCCAGAATTGTCTGAGGTACAGTGACTATCCAGGGAACAGTGAAAGCCTGTTTTCCTGTTCCTGGGAGGCAGTCAGTGTTGGTCAGACGTTAGGGGTATGGCAGGTGAGTACTGCACAGGCAAAGAGGGAGTTGGATTGGATAGAAGCTGCCGGTAGGGGTAGAGAGCAGGTAGCAGGAGAGTGCCTGTGGCTCGACCCTGTCATCTTAGCTACTCAGGAGGCTGTGAGGATCAAGGTTCAAAGCCAGCTGAGGCAGACTAAACCACCAGACTTTTATTATTTCTAATTAGTCAGCAAGATGCTGGACTGGGGATGAGCTTGAAGCCCTGAGCTCAAGCTCCAGAATGAGAAACAGAGCATGGTGATGGTGATGTGTGTTGTGGATTTGAGTTGCAGGGGTGAGGGTCATCAAACAAGGAGAGGAGGACCTGTGGAGTTAGTAAAAGGAAGAGTGAGAAGGGAGGGTTCCGAGTTCCCAGGAGAGTGTACAGAGTAAGTGAGGAGCAAGAGATCTAGCCTTGTGTCCCCCTGAAGGCTTGGCGCAGGGCGAGTCCGCTTCCCCAGTGGCCTGTGGGGTACCTGCCAGCAGGCATGCTCCTGGCAGCCCGAGGGCTGGGAAGACAGGGAGCTGCCCTTGGAAGATGCTGGGGACAACCGTAGGGTTTCTAAGGCTCACATGGATTCCTGGCTGAGTGATAGTTCATTTTCATGTTATTTTCCTTTTAGTGATTATGAATAAATACCAAGAGCAGCCTCACCTGTTGGACCCACACCTTGGTAAGCACTGAAGCTGGTAACTTTGATGGTTCCGTTACAGATGACAAAGACCTTGTGCATGATCCTGGTTCTCATGTACACTGCTAGCCGAGTGTCAAGATGAAGTGTCCTCAGTGCTGTGCCTTAATTGCTGGCGAGTTCATTCTGTGTTTCTGCGACAGTGGCTTGGGTTCAGATATACTCGAGGCTGTTAGCAGATATATCTAATAGGCATTTCCTTTGCTGCCATTTAAGGAACTTTTTTTTTTTTTTTGGTCAGTGGTGGGGTCTAAACTCTGTGGCTGGGTGCTGTCCCTCAGCTCTTCCTCAAGGCTTAAGCCAGTGCCACTTTTGGCTTTTTTTTCTATTTATGTGGTACTGAGGAATCGAGTTCCTCATACATGCAAGGAAGCCCTCTACCAGCCTCTCCCCTCACCCCTTTTCCTTTTTTTTTTTTTTTTTTTTCGGTTGTGGGACTTGAACTCTGGGCCTGGGCGCTGTCCCTCAACTCTTCAGCTCAAGGCTAGCGCTCTACCACTTGAGCCACAGCGCCACTTCTAACTTTTTCTGCTTATGTGGTGCTGAGGAATCGAACTCGGCCTCATGCATGCGAGGCCAGCGCTCTACCACTGAGCCACCTTCCCAGCCCCTTAGATCTGTTATGGCCAGGTACATGTTGTCTTTCTGGCGATTGTCACACGGGCTCGTTCTACCCTCGCAGCACCTGAGGAAGTTCTGTCTTCTTTCTCATAGATGGATATTGGCACTTGACTTCACTGCTTCCTTTATTTCGTGTGCTTAAGTTGTTTTCTTTCTCATTTCATTTTTGAGGCAGGGTCTTTCTGTACAGCCCAGGCTGACCTTGAGCCTGCTCTCCTCCTTCCTCAGCCTCTCAAGCACTACACAGCAGAGCCAGGCGCTGGTGGCTCATGCCTGAAATCATAGCTATTCTGGGGGCTAAGATCTGAGGATTTCAGGTCTCTGGGCAGGAAAGTCCATGAGACTTTTTTTTTTGTTATTGTTGTTGGTCCTGGGGCTTGAACTCTGGGCTTGGGTGCTATCCCTCAGCTCTTCAGCTCAAGGCAAGCGCTGTGCTTGAGCTACAGCACAACTTCTGTTTTTCTAGTGGCTTATTGGAGATAAGAGTCTCACGGACTTTCCTTCCCCCAGGCTGGCTTTGCTTTGAACAGTGGTCCTCAGATCTCAGCCTCCAGAGTAGTTAGGATTATAGGCGGGAGCCACTGGTGCCCCTCCCCTGCTCTTCGGACTCTTATCTCTCACTAACTACCAAAAGGCTAGAAATAGAGCTCAAGTGGTAGAGCACTTGCCTTGAGCAAAAGAGCTCATGGACAGGGGCTGGGGAGGTGGCTCAGTGGTAGAGTGCTTTCCTTGCATGCATGAGGCCCTGGGTTTGATTCCTCAGCACCACATAAGCAGAAAAAGCTGGAAGTGGGGCTGAGGCTCAAGTGGTAGAGCGCTAGTCTACAGCTGAAGAGCTGAGGGACTGCGCCCAGGCCCAGAGTTCAGGCCCCATGACCAACACAAAAAAAAAAAAGAGCTCATGGACAGCAGCCAGGCCCTGAGTTCAAACCCCAGTACGGGCACCAAAATAAGAAAAAAATACAAGCAGGATATCTGTGGCTTACACCTGTATTCTTAGCTACTCGGGGCTGATATTTGAGCAATGCAGTTTGAAACCAGGCAGGGCAGAAAAGCCCATCAGAGTCTTACATCCAATTAACTACCCAAAAGCCCGGAAGTGGAGCTGGGTTCAAGTGGTAGAATGCTAGCCTCAAATCAAAAAGCTCAGAGGAGGAATCAAAAAGCTCAGAGGAGCCGGCACTGGTGGCTCACGCCTGTAATCTAGCTATTCAGGAGGCTGAGATCTGAAAATCTCAATTCAGAGCCAGCCCGGGTAGGAAAAGTCCATGAGACTCTTACCTCCAATAAATCACTAGAAAACCAGAAGTGGCGCTGTGGCTCAAGCAGTAGAGCACAAGGACAGCACCCACAAACAAAAGAAAACAACAAGCCAAAGCGCCAGTAGCTCACGCCTGTAATCCTAGCTACTGAGGAGGCTGAGATCTGAGGATCACGGTTCAAAGTCAGCCTGGGTAGAAAAGTCAGTGAGACTCTTTTTATTTATTTATTTATTTTAATTTTTTTAAATTTTTTTGGTCCGGTCCTGGGGCCTGAACTCTGGGCCTGGGCGCTGTCCCTCAGCTCCTCAGCTCAAGGCTGGCGCTCCACCACTTGAGCCACAGCACCACTTCCGGCTTTGTCCGTGAGACTCTTATCTCCCAATAAATCACTAGAAAACTGGAAGTAAGCCCCATGACTGACAAAAAAAAAAAAAAAGAAAGCTCAGAGGCAGTGCCCTGGACCTGAAGCCCCAGGACCCGCATGAAAGCAAACAAAAGAAAACAACAAGCTGAGCACCAGTGGCTCACGCTGTCATCCTAGCTACTGAGGAGGCTGAGATCTGAGGATCACGGTTCAGAGCCAGCCCTGGCAGGAAAAGTCCATGGGACTCTTATCTCTCAATAAACCACTAGAAAACTGGAAATGGTGCTGTTGCTCAAGTGGTAGGTAGAATGCTGGCCTTGAGCTGAAGAGTGCAGGGATAGCGCCCAAGCCCAGAGTTCAAGCCCCATGACAAAAAAAAAAAAATAAAAGAACAGAACAATGGGTGCCGGTGGCTCACGCCTGTCATCCTAGCTACTCAGGAGGCTGAGATCTGAGGATCATGGTTCAAAGCCAGCCTGGGCAGGAAAGTCCTTGAAACTCTTCATCTCCAATAAACCACCAGAAAACTGGAAGTGGCGCTGTGGCTCAAGTGGTGTAGAGTGCTTGCCTTGAGCTGAAGAGCTGAGGGACAGCACCCAGACCCTGAGTTCAAGCCCCCTGACCACCACCAACAAAACAAAAACAAAAAAACCCACAGGCTTTTTTTTTTTAAATTATTATTTTTTCTTTTCAAAAAAATTTTTTTTTGTTTTTGTTTTTTTGTCAGTCATGGGCCCTGAACTCTTGGCCTGGCGAGAACTCTACCACTTGAGCCACAGTGCCACTTCTGGCTTTTTCTGCTTATGTGGTACTAAGGAATTGAACCCAGGGCCTCATGCATGCAAGGCAAGCACTCTACCACTGAGCCACCTTCCCAGCCCCTGTTTTTTTATTTTCTTAACATAGGCCTTTGACATTGGGCTTGGGATGGGGAGGTTGGGTCAGTCCTTAGCTCCAGTACTCATGCATTGAGCTCCTCTGCTTGGGATGGGGAGGTTGGGTCAGTCCTTAGCTCCAGTACTCATGCATTGAGCTCCTCTGCTTGGGATGGGGAGGTTGGGTCAGTCCTTAGCTCCAGTACTCATGCATTGAGCTACTCTGCTTGGGATGGGGAGGTTGGGTCAGTCCTTGGCTCTAGTACTCATGCATTGAGCTACTCTGCTTGGGATGGGTCAGTCCTTAGCTCCAGTACTCATGCATTGAGCTCCTCTGCTTGGGATGGGGAGGTTGGGTCAGTCCTTAGCTCCAGTACTCATGCATTGAGCTACTCTGCTTGGGATGGGTCAGTCCTTAGCTCCAGTACTCATGCATTGAGCTACTCTGCTTGGGATGGGGAGGTTGGGTCAGTCCTTAGCTCCAGTACTCATGCATTGAGCTCCTCTGCTTGGGATGGGTCAGTCCTTAGCTCCAGTACTCATGCATTGAGCTCCTCTGCTTGGGATGGGTCAGTCCTTAGCTCCAGTACTCATGCATTGAGCTACTCTGCTTGGGATGGGGAGGTTGGGTCAGTCCTTAGCTCCAGTACTCATGCATTGAGCTACTCTGCTTGGGATGGGTCAGTCCTTAGCGGTCCTTCCTTTTGCTTGGTGGTCTCACCTGTGTAATGAGGGATAGCACAACGTGCCTCACAGGCTTGCAGACCTCTGCGTCTTTACCTGGGAGAAGGTGTGCAGCACCTGGGCCGTCACTTTACAGTGGGGTGCAGCATGCATGCCTTGCAAGGTGTATATGTATACCTGCGTGTTTCCACCTGTAAGATGAGGGGTCACATGCATTCTTCGTGGGCACACCGTTCCAATGTGGGACAGCACACTTGCCTTACAGCGTGTTACATACCTGTGTGTCCTGACCTGTAAAGTGAGGGGCAGCAAGCATAGTTCTTTGGCATCTTTGGTATCTTCCCACTTGTAAGATGGTCAGCCTGCGTGTCTTTCAGAGTATGGGGCTCTGAACGTCCATCCTCAGGTTTCAGCCTTTTAAGTAGCTAGGATTACAAGCATGGGCCACTAATGCCCAGCTTTTTATGTTTTCTTCTTTTTAGATAGACTCTTAGCCTTTTGCCCTGGCTGGTCTTGGACTATGATCTTCATGCTTCTACCTTCCAAGTACCTGGACCACAGTCATGTGCCACTATGCCTGTCTTGTATTTTTTGCTCAAAGCCGGCACTTTGTGTATGTGTGTGTGTGTGTGTGTGTGTGTGCGTGCGTGCGTGCGTGCGTGCGTGCGTGCGCGCGCGCATGTGTGGGTGTTTGTGTGCACATGTGCACTGGTACTGGGGCTTGAATTTAGGGCTTTAGCTTGAATGAGCTTTTTTGCTCAAGGCTGATGTCTGAGCCACAGCTCCACTTCTGTTTTTTTGCATTTAATTGGAGATAAGAGTCTCATGGACTTTCCTGCCCAGGCTGGCTTTGAACCGCGATTCTCAGATCTCAGCCTCCTGAGTAGCTAGGATGACAGGTGTGAGCCACCAGTGCCTGGTCCTAGCTTGTTTTGTCTTGCTTGATTTTGCTTGGTCTGACCTTGAACCTTTGATCCTCTTTCCTCTGCTTTCTAATAGCTGGCATTGTAAGTGTGGTCACCAGGCATGGCTGCTGAGCATCTCTGTCTGGTGACAGGATGTGCAGGTGAGCCTCCTGAACTCACTTGAGGCAGAACAAGCTCATTTTCCAACTTGGTGGATAGCTCTTCTCCATCCACATTGCTGACTCTTGTGACTCTAGCACTGAGACTTCATGAGGATGCTACTTTCTCTAGGCCTGTCTTTCCATGTTGGATTTCAGTTGGGCAACTTTGGGCTGAAGACTTCATCGTTCAGCACAGGGGCCTTTGCTTCTGCTGCGAGTTTGATCATTGCTCTACTTCTGTCTTCTCTTACTGGTGAGTTAGATGTTAGATGTCTGGGGTGACCCCAGGGGTCCTTAGCTTTTTCTTTTTCCTGTTTGTAATGCCTTGTTTTGCACATAGAAAATTTTTTGAGTTTACTTAAGTAACTGTGTTTACTTTCTCAGAACTCTGATTCTTGCCTTGGTATTTTTTTTTTTATTTAGTTATTAAAAAAAATTTTTTTTTGGGTCCAGTTGTGGGGCCTGAACTCTGGGCCTGGGCGCTGTCCCTCAGCTCTTCAGCTCAAGGCTAGTGCTCTGTCACGTGAGCCACAGCACCACTTCCGGCTTTTTTCTTTTTATGTGGTGCTGAGGAATTGAACCCAGGGCCTCAGGGATGCAAGGCAAGTGCTCTACCACTGAGCCACCTTCCCAGTCCTGCCTTGGTATTCTTTAGAGTATTATTTGATTGCCTGAGGGTATACTCTTGACTGCTGGTGCAGAATGCTGCATGATTCCTTGGCCTTCTCTAGACCCTCCTGTGTGTCTGCATGCTCTGAGGGGTTCGGTTCCCTTGCAGAGTCTTTATTCTTCACCACACAGAAGATGGGGTCTTGGGAAGGGCTGGTTGTAGGGAGTGACTGACGGATGTCTGTCTGGGTGGAGGGTGCAAGGCAGCAGGTGCCCCAGGCCTCGTCTAGTGGATCTTGGGTTCCTGGCAGTCCTCATAGGACAGACATAGTCACTGTTCAAGAGGCGAAGGTGCTGCTTCACTGCCTTTATTGCCGGGACCTCTCTGTAATGGAGCACAGAATGGGATGTTTACTGTGTGCTGCCCACAGTGCTGAGCAATTTTTACAGCTCATCATCTTCTGGGAAATGGATTCTTTAGAAGATGGGAATGATGGTCACAGCTGCTGGTCCTTCATCTTATGTCCCACATTGCCTTGCTTTTGCCTTTCAGTGTAAGGAACAGTGTGTGCTACCTGTGACGTTTCAACAATATTTGGATTGTCAAAACTGTCTGTGTTACCTTTTGTATTTCCCTTTGGTAGTATGCTTAGACTTTAATTTTTTCTGCATTGGATATTGTGGCTCCTGCTGTTTGAAATATGTTTTAAATTTGTGTTCAGTTCTAAAATATATTAACCTCTCGTTTTGAGACTTCTGTTTCATTAGTATCTTTAGATGTTCCTTTTTGTAGTCATTTTTGTTTTATTGCTGTATGATATGTATACATATATGTAATTATAATTACTTATTTTTGTCAGTTGTGGGGCTTGAACTCAAGCCTGGGTGCTGTCCCTGAGCTGCTTCTGCTTAAGGCTCTACCACTTGAGCCACAGCTCCACTTCTAGCATTTGGTTGTTAATTAGAGAAAAGAGTCTCACGGACGTCCCTGCCCAGGCTGACTTTGAGTCGCAATCCTCAGATCTCAGCCTCCTGAGAAGCTAGGATGACAGGCGTGAGCACCGGCGCCCAGCAACCTTTTACTTTTTTGACTACTCCTGGCAGTCCTGGGGGTTGAGCTCTGTGACCTATAGCTGTTGTGGCTTGAGTAAGGGGGTTGATAGTGCTATTTACAACAGTCTTACTAATCTGTTTTTGTTCCCACCTCTGAAATCACACTCTTTCAGTACTCTGAGGTGCTATTTTGTTTTTGTTTTTGTTTTTTTGTCTTTTTTTGGGTCCGGTCGTGGGGCCTGAACTCTGGGCCTGGGCGCTGTCCCTCAGCTCTTCAGCTCAAGGCTAGTGCTCTACCACTTGAGCCACAGCGCCACTTCCGGCTTTTTTCTTTTTGCTTATGTGGTGCTGAGGAATCGAACCCAGGGCCTCAGGCATGCAAGGCAAGCGCTCTACCACTGAGCCACCTTCCCAGCCCTGTAATTATATGTTTTTACAGGATTGTTGAGAGTTCATAATGAATCAGTCTTTTTGTTATTAGATGTTTTCTAATCTCTGTAGTGGTACTTGTTCTGAAATCAACTGTCAGAAAGTTGGTAGGTTTTCTTTTTTCTTTTTTTTTTTTTGTCAGTCACGGGGCTTGAACTCTGGGCCTGAACGCTGTCCTTCAGCTCTTCAGCTCAAGGTTAGCACTCTACCACTTGAGCCACAGCGCCACTTCCGGTTTTCTGTTGGTTAATTGGAGATAAGAGTTTCATGGAGTTTCCTGCCCAGGCTGGCTTTGAACCATGATCCTCAGATCTCAGCCTCCTGAGTAGCTAGGATGACAGGCGTGAGCCACTGGCACCTGGCCGCAGGTTTTCTTGTGATGGTGATTGCTTGGTGTATCAAAACATTTTTTGTGGGGGTATCCTCTCTTGGGGTTGCGGTAGTTTTAGATAGTACTTGTTTAGTAATTTTTGAGTGTCTTTTATGCATTATACTGGCCATATCACCAGGTTATATGACAACTTTTAGAGGATGCTGAAGTTTGACAGGCAGGTGAGTAACTGCTTGATTGGGTCTAAACTTTCTAGGCTTTGTTTTTTTTTTTTTTCTTTTTTTGGTCCGGTTGTGGGGCCTGAACTCTGGGCCTGGGCACTGTCCCTCAGCCCTTCAGCTCAAGGCTAGCACTCTACCAGTTGAACTACAGCGCCACTTCCGGCTTTTTTTTTTTTTTCTGCTTATGTGTTGCTCAGGAATTGAACCCAGAGCCTCATGCATGCAAGGAAAGCACTGTACCACTGAGCCGCCTTCCCAGCCCACTTTCTAGGCTTTGTGAGGACAGTGTTCCTTCTAGTTTTTCTCTAACTTAGTCTTATCTAGAAAAGGTGGCCTTTCTGGAATATCATAGCACATGGGCTGTGGGAGAGCTGTTTCCTCAGCTCTCCCTGGTATTTGATTTGTTCCTTAACCAGCCGTGTGGGCTACCCTGTGTTTGTGAAGACAGCTATGATCTGTGATTCCTGGACTTCAGCAGACTTCTGGAGCTTATGTGGTGTGTAGCTTTGTCTTTGAGACATGATCTGCAAATATCAGCTAACTCAGTCTCTTCAAACCCCATCCTCCCTTTTTTTTGTTGGTCATAGGGCTTGAACTCTGGGCCTGGGCGCTGTCCCTCAGCTCTTCAGCTCAAGGCTAGCACTCTACCACTTGAGCCACAGCGCCACCTCCGGTTTTCTGGTGGTTAATAGGAGATAAGAGTCTTATGGACCTTCCTGCCTGGGCTGGCTTTGAACCACGATGCTCAGCTCTCAGCCTCCTGAGTAGCTAGGATTATAGGCGTGAGCACTAGTTTTGAACCCCTTTCTGCTCCTCTTAGTTTGTGGTGGCTGAGTTCAGCCAGCAGAACTCAGAACTGCCAGAGCGGACCCCCTTCTGGGTGCTGTGCTTTGTGGATAGTAGATGGTGGAACCCTGAATGACCCTTCTTCCCATACTGGGCTCATGCTATGTGACTGCTCTCCCTGCACTGGACTCTGAACATGGCACCTCTTTCAACAGGGGATCGCTGACTGTGGCCTCCCTTTGGACAGACACTCATGACCCTACATGACCCCTTTCTTTGTGCTCAGTTCTAAACCAGGGTAGGAGATATTTCTGAGCCCTCTGTGACTCCTCTCTCCATTCTTTGTTTTTTTTCCTTTTAACACACACATTCAAGCCAGATGTGTTGTATAAAATACATCAGTTTTTGTTTTTTCCATTTTCGAAATGGGAATGAATGTTGTATGAGGTGCAGACCATTTAGAAATACCAAAGGGGGCATCTTTTGACCTTCTGTGCTATTGGTACTTGGTTATACAGGCTTACTAAGTTGGCCCATTCATATGCTCTCAATAAAACCTTCTTTATTTTGGTATTTTGTTTCAATATATTGATGTTTAACTTTATAGCCAATGTTTGATATCTTTTTCTGTAGAGTGGATGATGAACTTGCTGTTGGACATAGTACAAGATAAGACTTCTCCAACTTCCCTCAAAAACCTGGCGTTTAAGTTTCTTTACATCATCACCAAGGTAACATTTGTGTAGCAGTTACTGAGTGACAGACACTTTCTTTACATCTTGGCCCAGAAGTTACCCTCTAAAATGTTAATTCTTAGGAAGTATGGTTCTCAGACATTATAGGTTTTATTCTCTCTTTTGAACATTTATTGAGGAATTAGGTCTTAGTGCTGGAGTTGGGGGATGGGGAGGGGAGACTCCTTCAGATAGAACCTAAAGGTTTTCTCAAGGAAAAAGGAGAAAAGCTTGGTGCTTCTCCCACTTTAGCATGCAGATGAGTTTCTAGAAATCAGCTGCACTGCATGCAGGTTCTGAGGAAGGAGGTCTCGGGTTGGTGCTCTGTCTGCCTTCTCTGTAGGCCCCAGATGATGTTGTGTACTGGGCTGTGGGGGGATTGGTAGTGCTTGGGGTACACCATTTAGCGTACCAAGAACGAGTTCTTGTCTGACGAGAGAAACCGGGTGTTCTTCAGAAGTGTGAACAGGAACTCCTCTGAGGTTCCTGGGTCCAGAGGATAGTCTACAAACAAGGTAGAAGAAGTTTTGGCTTCACTGCAGCCTATCTGTATTTCTGATGAGCACAATAAAGTTTATCAGTAATTTTGGAACAAACCATATTTAATGAATAAACAGGAAGAAAGATAGTTTCTTGTTTCTTTGGTCTTTACCAAGTTGTATTACAGTAATGTGACAGAATTCTTTCTGATCCTTGGGTGGATCTCTTTGGTGAGAGGAAGGAGATAATATTACTCCCCTGTATTTCCTTTTCCCTTTTCTGTCCCCCTTCTTATTCCTTCCTCTCTCCTCCCCTTCCCATTTTCCTTTCTTCTCTATTACCCTTCTCCCTTCTTTGTTCTTCTTTCTTTTTCCTCTTCTCTTTCCTCTTCCTTTAGCTAGGATTATAGATATGAGCCACTGGCGCCCATCCTAATACAAATTTTAATTTTATTTGGTAGGTTCGAGGATATAAAGTATTTCTTCGTTTATTTCCTCATGAAGTAGCTGATGTACAGTCTGTGTTAGATATGTTCACAGATCAGAACCCCAAAGATCATGAGGTAAGTGTCACCCCAAATCCTTCTGGTTCTGCTCCTTGCAAGCTGCTCTGTTCTCTGGCCTTCTCCTGTTTTATCTTGGTGCTTTGTAAACCCCCCCCCCCTTTTTTTTTTTCTGGTCATGGGGCTTGAACTCTGGGCCTGGGCGATGTCCCTCAGCTCTTCAGCTTCAAGGCCAGCGCTCTACCACTTGAGCCGTAGTGCCACTTATGGTTTTCTGGTGGTTTATTGCAGATAAGAGTCTCACGGATTTTGCCTCCAGGGCTGGCTTTGAACTAGGTCTCAGCCTCCTGAGTAGCTAGAATTACAGGCGTGAGCCACTGGTGCCTGGCTTCTTTTTTTTTTCTCTTCAGAGTTAGGATTTTGCTTTGTAGCCCAGCTGGCCTTGAACTCATGCTTCCCTTGCTTTAGCATCTGGAGTATTGGAGTTACATGCCTGTACTATCATTCCTAGCTCTGTTTGTTTTTAAACTTGGGAGCCTCAAGCTTGCTAGGTAGGCACTCAGCCACTTGAATAGATCTTTTTTTTTTTCCCCAAATGAGCTGGTGTGGAGCTTGGTCCTCCTAATTTATGCTTCTGACCATAGCAGAGATGACAGGTTCATGCCACCCTGCCGTGTGTGTGTGTGTGTGTGTGTGTGTGTGTGTGTGTGTGTGTGTGTGTGTGTGTGTGCGCGCGCGCGCGCATGCCTATACGTGTTTGTGTTTGCATGTGTGTGCCAGTCCTGGGGCTTGAACTCAGAGCCAGAGTGTTGTCCTTGAGGTTTTATGCTCCAGGCTAGTACTCCACCACAGCTCTACTTCCAGGTTTTTGGTAGTTTATTGAAGAGTCTCATAGACTTTCTTGCTCAGGCTGGCTTTGAACTAGATCCTCAGTACCCTCCTGAGTAACTAGGATTATAGGTGAGAGTCACTGGTGTCCACAGAGAGTTTTACCTTTTATTTTAAACAGGACTGCCAAATGTAGTTTGTTTATTTAGTATGGAGTACTAGCTAGATTAGTACTAATTAGTTTAGTTTACTAGTGCCTGGTCATGCCCAGTCTTCTCTGTTGAGATGGAGTTTGTGAATTTTTTTGCCCAAGTTGGTCTAGAACTGTGATCTTTGTGATTTTGGCCTCTGCATAACGGGTCATACACCTCTGAGCCCAGCTATTGGTTGAGATAGGGTCTTAAAATCTTTTTTTGCCTAGGCTGCCCTCAAACCACAGTATTAATGATCTCCACCTCCAGAGTAGTTAAGATTATAGTCATGAGCTACTTAGTGAGTGCTTTAGTAAGCTCTTTTGTATGGAAATCATTTTGACTGATTTAACTCCTTAGGCATGGGAAACCCGATATATGCTGTTACTGTGGCTCTCTGTGACCTGCCTGATTCCTTTTGATTTTTCACGTCTTGACGGGAACCTTCTTACTCAACCGGGGGAAACACGAATGCCCATAATGGACCGTATTCTGCAAATTGCAGAGGTAAATATGACTGCACAGATAATTAGCTGCTAAATGTGTCCTCTCTCATGCCTATGTTGTCTTGAAATTAGAGCTCAATTAGGTAAACTGTGGGTATTTATGTATTTCATTTCCATATTATTTTCAGTGATGTAAAATTTCACTTTATTTGAAATTACGATAATTCATGTCGAGTTCAGAATGAATTAGCAGGTCTTTTTTCTTTGTAGATATTGCAATATTCTGTCAAGTATAACAGTGATCTATAAGAAGCTTTAGGGACAATGATAGAAAATAAGGATTCATTTTATACTCAGTTGTCAGCTTTGCATGAATACTGCATGTTGTAGGAAACCTAGAAAATAATGAGAAGCAAGAATGCTGAATTGACCTGTCAAATTTAACCTGTTGAATTCTTGCAGTCTTACTTGGTTGTCAGCGACAAGGCACGAGATGCAGCTGCTGTCCTTGTTTCTAAGTAAGTCCTGCTGGCTGCCCTGGGCTGTTGGCTGATATGTGATTGGTGTTCAAGAGGGTGTCCTATTTTGTGTTTTGGGTATATCTGCTAATTCTCAGATAAAGGTCCAAGAGGTGTTTGCTCCTCAGATCCTTTTACCGTTTCTGGAGGAGCATGCAGGGCTAGTTGGACACAAAAGACACTTCAACTTGAAGTGATCATCCCCAGTGCTGGTTTGGGGCTTGTGGAGTCACCCAAAAGGCTTTCAGACAGAAGGGTCGATCTAGATCAGGAGCAGCCAGGGTTCTCCATGGTGTGATTTGGCCTTCACAGAGGAGTGGTGGCAGTTTGCAAGTTACTTTAGAAGTAGTTCATGCTGTGGTCTGTGGAGATCATGAATGCACCCAGGTTCTGTCAAATATTGTCAAAGCCAGGGGCTAATAAGTGTACTTACTCAGATTTCAGAGGCTGAGATGTAAGGATCCCTGGTCAGGAAAGTCTGTGAGACTTCTGTCTCACTGCCAAAAGCCTGAAGTCAAGTTGTGGCCGAGGTGGTAGACCACTAGTGTTAAGGAAAAAAACAGACTGTGGCACAACACTCAGGCCCTGAGTTCAAGCCCCAAGAAGGGGATGTAGGGGCTACAGGTGTGACTCAGATGGTCGGGCGCCTGCCGCTGAACATAAAGTGTCGATGCTGAGTCTGAGGCCCAGTGTCTGTCTGTCTGTCTGTCTCAGTCTCTCTCACACACACAACAGTGAGATGTAGCTTGGCAGTGGCACGGTCACCTAATATGTACAAGGCCCCCAGTCTTATTGCAGCATTGAAAAATAAGGGGAAAAAAACGGGAAACCAGGCCTTCCTGTACAGGGGAAAATGTGAAAACGCGGAGAGGGGAAGATGGCTTCTCTGCAGGGTTGGGGTGAGATGGTCAACACAGCTTGCCTGAGAGATTCTAAAAGGTGACAAAGATGCGTGTTTTGTGAAACACCTGTTTTGTTAAATTGGGAATGCTATTTTTTTTTTTTTTTTTTTTGTCAGTCATGGGGCCTGAACTCTGGGCCTGGGCGCTGTCCCTCAGCTCTTCAGCTCAAGGCTAGCGCTCTACCACTTGAGCCACAGCGCCACTTCTGGCTTTTTCTGCTTATGTGGTGCTGAGGAATCGAACCCAGAGCCTCATGCATGCAAGGCAAGCGCTCTACTCCTGAGCCACCTTCCCAGCCCCTAAAATTATTTTTTAAATTGGTATCAATTATTTGTAAAATATTTTTTTAAACAAGTCCATTTATTTACTTATTTATTTTTTGTCAGTCATGGGGCTTGAGCCACAGCACCACTTTTGGTTTTCTACTGGTTTATTGGAGATCACAGTCTCACGGACTTTCCTGCCCGGGCTGGCTTTGAACCGTGATCCTCAGATCTCAGCCTCCTGGGTAGCTAGGATGACAGGCGTGAGCCACCTGCACCTGACCACTTCCTGTTTTCTGGTGGTTAATTGGAGATAAGATTCTCATGGACTTTACTGCTGGTGCTAGTTAAAACCTCAGTCCTCAGATCTCCTCCTGAGTAGCTAGGATTACACTTTCCATAGTGTGGCTATTAGGAATAAACACTACTGTCTTGAATATTCCACATAAAGCTCCTTGGGATGAATTCCTACTTGTGGAGTGAAGAATTATATGGGTTTGAGATTCAATTATTACAAAGATTGAATAAGCTGAAGGGCCCTGTTTCCCTTATTTACTAGTTGGGTGGGACCTCATAAATGTTTACCAACTTTGTCAAGTAAAAGGTGGTATGTATCTTATCTTTTTTGCCTGTCCTGGGGCTTGAACTCAGGGCCTGGTGCTATCCCTGAGCGTCTTTGTGCCCAAGGCTAGCCTTATTGGTGCCATAGCACCAATAAGAGTCTCATGAACTTTTTTGCCCAGGCTGGCTTTGAACTGTGGTCCTCAGATCTCAGTCTCTTGAGTAGCTAGGATTATAGGTGTGAGCCACACCTGTGCCTGGCTTGTTTTATTTTTATTTTTCCTAGTTCTTTCCTTTTTTTTTTTTTCCTTAGCATATCATTTGTATAAAATAATGTGTGCATTGTGAATTGTTACTCTTCTTTTTTTTTTTTTTTTTTTTTTGGCAGTACTGTACTCTGGGCCTTGAGCTTGCTTGGCAGGCACTTCTGCTGAGCCATGACTCCAGCCCCTATTTGCACTTGCTATTTTGAGGTAGGATCTCCCCTTTTGCCTGATCTTCCTACCATATCCAGGCGTATGCTACCACATGTAGCCTCTTCCAAGGAGAGGAGTCTACAATGTATTTTTTCCAGCCTTGGGGCTGGTCATTGCGAGACAGGCTTCAACGCCATCTAGTGCCGAGATGAGAAAGTGTTAAAAGAGACAGCTGCTGCTGAGATGAGTGTTTCGCTCATTGGGTTGGTTTCCACCTGGAAATCCAGGCGAGGCCAGATCTCCGAGGGAATTTCTGAGCCTTAGAGTGGCACCAGTGTGGTCTCTGCTTGCCTCCTGTGTCCACTTGTTGTCTTGTTGGGGCACGTGAAGGGTATTTACCTACAGTGTGGGGTCACTTCTAATGCTGCTTCCCCCTTGGGCGCCTGCTTTGAATATCATGTTCTGCCTGAGGCTTCGGAACTGCACTTGTTTCTTTTTTTTCTTTCTTTTTTTCTTTTTGTTGGTCGTGGGGCTTGAACTCGGGGGCTTGAGTGCTGTCCTTGCGCTCTTCAGCTCAAGGCGAGCACTCTACCCCTTGAGCGACAGTGCCACTTCTGGTTTTCTTGTGGTTTATTGGAGATAGAGTCTCAGGGACTTTCCTGCCCGGACTGGCTTTGAACCATGATCCTCAGATCTCAGCCTCCTGAGTAGCTATGATTATAGGGGTGAGCCACTGGCGACCGGCTTCCTGTAACTCTTGATAGTGTTATATAGTTGCTAAAATGTTTAGATACAATGCAACCTTACAAAATTTGTGTAGAAAAAATATGACTTTATTCAGTTTTGAAACTGAGTCTTGCTATGTAGCCCAGGCTAACCTCAAGCTCACTGTGTGGTCCTGGCTTGTCATTTTGATCCTCTTGTTTTAAGTCTTCCAAATTCTAGGATTCTAGGCATTTGCCACCATGTTTGGCTGTGCATATATACATATGTGAATGGAGGAGGTTCACGGGATGAGGAATGCCAGCTGTCTATGTCTGCTCACTATGCTAAGAAATAGACCACAGTAATGTGGTTGTATGAGTGAGGAGACTTGCCACCAAGCCAGTATGGAGGCAGCTCTAGCGCAGGCCAGCTGATCAGGTCAGACACAGGATGGGCAGGAGGGCCGGTGGAGGGGGACTTAGGCTTAGTCGCAGTGGAGCTGGCGCCAGCGCCATGGACTGGCGGCTCCAGTCCTCGCACACTGCACGGGGCACCGTGGAGCTGTCTCCACGTTGAACGCTTCTCTGGAGATGACCCCACCCTTGACGGGGAATCGCCACAGTCAGTGTGTCGGCCTCTCCACGCCTCCCTTCTAGTCGAGTGTCCTGGAAGTGCAGTGAGGACACTGGTCAGCCCTGCTGCCTGGCTCAGCCTGCCCTGGCCACCTGTGCTACCTGACTGGCCTTGCTCCTTGTGTTCGTAGCACCCTCTTAGCTCCTTCCCGCCCTGGGCCATGCTCTTGCTGCTTCTGGGGACAGCAGTTTCCCGCGGCAGATAGCGACGGCTCTTCTTGCCCAGCACTCCACTGTGGGGCCCTCTGGGCTATCACTGTGCCTGTGCTGGGCGTGGGGGCACAGCACTTTCTCCTGCTGTTTCCTTCTGTCCTGTGGCTTGCTGTTGCGGTATCAGCCTTGGAAGGATGGGGCTTTGTTCTCTGAGTGGTAAAGTCAGGCTTGCGCCACAGAGAGGGGCACTGGCATGGGAGCTGCTGGAAGAGTGAGGAGTGCTGGGGTCTGGTTTAGGGGCTGGAGGATGAGTGTTGGGTGGGAGGATACAGGGCTGGGAGAGGGAAAGGAAAGGGGCTCGTGGTGGTTGCTCTGGAGACAGGTCTTTGGGTTAGGTTGGTTCTGGGCCAGGTTGCTGGAGTGTGTCCTGAGGTGGAGGGGGATAGTTTATAGGCCCTTCTCAGCTGTGGTGGCCTAGGAGGATGGGAGATGAGTTGGGGACCAGATAGGAGGAGTCAGGGCAGTGAGGCCTGTGTGTGTCTGAGAGATCCTGGTGGAGAATTAGCTGCTGGGACCGTGGGCAGGACTTGGTCTTCTGGAGGAAGAGGAGCCTGCGTAGGGCTGCCCACCTGCCTAACAGTGTGGCAGCACAATTTAGAGGCTGCCAGGGCCCAGGCGGGGCGGCTGGGCAGTGGACATGATGCCTTTTGGTGGTAGAGGCTTGTTGAGCTTGTGATTTTGTTCTCTTTGGCAGGTTTATCACGCGCCCTGATGTCCGAGAGAGGAAGATGGCTAGCTTCCTGGACTGGAGCCTGTGCACCTTGGCCCACTCCTTCCAGACTGCAGAGGGCACCTCTGCCACCGATGGGATGCTGCAAGCTCTGGTAAGGACCGCGTGGAGGGACAGGGTGTGGGGAAGCCAGGATCAGCACTTGCACTGGACCCAGAATGCAGCAATGTGGAATTCTCTGCTGAAGTGACTGGAGCATGGTGGGAATCATCTGCCCCTTGGGGCAGTACAGTTTTTCCCACTGCTGTGTGACCTTGAGCTAGACTTCTGCAAAAGTGAAAGCTATGAAGTCTCAGACTGCCACCAGAGGGCGGTGTTGCCCATGGAGGTGCAGGCCTTCAGTTTCTTCCTGCTTAATTTTGTTACAGCACACAATGATTAGAGCCAGCCCTAGTGAAGGAGGGCTTTGAAGTTAGGGTTTGAGCTCTGATTTTGTCCAGATGAGTGGGTTTCGGCCTTTTTAGCATCATTGATTGTTTAAACATGGATCTTGGCACCTACCAGGTGCCTCATGCCCTGCCTATTGCTGACCTTTTGCTTTGCTTGTTTGTTGTGTGGCCTTGTAGTGCTGATGAGGAGAAAATATCTAGTGTGAATTCCACAGAAGAGGTGCGGCCTGGGCAGCTGTTGCTCGGAATCTCCCTGGTTAGCATCCTTGAGAGAGTGGAGAGGATCTCCTGGGGCCTGAGCTCCAGAACCAGCCTTCGTTTTGGAAAGTGTGGACAGGGTCTTTGGGGATGTGGGCTCTAGAGTTAGCACCTGGTCCTGCTCCTTTTTGATTGCAGTGGTCGAGATTTATTCTTTTCCTTGTCTAGGAGGCTGAGGATGCTGACAGCTCACTTAGGAGAGCAGGGCCTTGTGAGGCCTGTGTGAATGCAGGTGTCTGTGCCTGCCCACCTGCCTCACCATGCAGATGGTGATGTTGGGCTGATGCGGGGTGGAGGGCACATGAGGGCTGGGTGGAGAGCAGGCCAGTGTCCACCCGGGGTGGACAGGCTTCTGGGTAGCGTGGCTTGCTGGATCCCGGTAGCGCCTCAGGCCCTTGAGTGTCAGGGCCACGGTGAGAGGAATGTTTGAGTGCAGTTTCTTCTTAATCCATATCACTCTTGTCCTCAGGGAACTGCCATTCAAAACATGTCAGAAGGAAACGTGGGAAATGCCTCCTTTTTTCTGTGTCCCTTTTAACACAGCAAGGCCTTGAGTTTGATCCTTAGCACCAAACAAAAAACAAGAGGAAACTATGAGCTAGGGAGCTTCTGGGCTCCATCCCCAGCTTCAGAAAAAGTAAAGAAATAAACAAATTAAGATGTGATTCACATGAAGATGTTTGGAACATTTTGCCTCTTCCTATGAAAAGTTTAGTCATTTTACGTGTTTACAAGGCTTTGCAACCCTTGTTTCCTCCCTCCATCACCCCGTGTGCCACGAAGCTCTCCGCAGCCCCCGAGGCTCCTACCCGTGCGGTCCTTGGAGTTGTCTGTTCTAGACATCTCATGCCTGGAGACTTCAGGGTGTGGCCTCTCCTATCTGGCTTTTGTGACTGAGCATGGTGGTCTTAGGGTTGGCCCACCATGTGGCGTGTGTCAGTGCTCTGCTTCTGTTTAGGGTCAGATAATATTCCATTTTCTGGGTGCTTTTGGCTATTGTGATTAACATTGATAGGAGCTTTTTTTTTTTTTTTTTGGGTCTGGTCGTGGGGCCTGAACTCTGGGCCTGGGCGCTGTCCCTCAGCTCTTTAGCTCAAGGCTAGCGCTCTACCACTTGAGCCACAGTGTCACTTCTAGCTTTTTTTCTTTTTGCTTATGTGGTACTGAAGAATCGAACCCAGGGCCTCATGCATGCAAGGCAAGCGCTCTACCACTGAGCCACCTTCCCAGCCCCTGATAGAAGCTTTTATGCACAAGTTTTGGTTTAAGCTTGTATTTTCAATTCCCTTGGGCATGTAACAGTATTGATGTATTCATCTATTTTTTAGTTTTTATGGTACTAAAGCTCAAACAGTAGATAGTAGCGCTAAGTTTTTCCACTTCCCCCAGTTCATACTTTCCTTTTTCTTTCTTTCTTTCTTTTTTTTTTTTTTTTGTTTGGTGCCAGGAATCAAACCAGGGCCCTGTGTGCTAGGCAAGCCCTCTGTTACTGGATTATACCTACAGTAGTTGTCCCCTCTGTCCCCCCCAATATTGGAATTTGAATTCAGGTCCTTGCTCTTGCTAGTGGGTGCTTTTACCTTTCAGCCATACCTCTACTCTGGTTTTTGCTGGTTACTTTTGAGATAGTGTCTCTCCCTTCATAAACTGGTACACTATTGTATCCAGCTCCTTTTAAGAAAGGGGTCTTAGGGGTTTTTCTGCCACTTAAGTAGCATGAGTCACTGATACAGGCTGGTGTGTGTGTGTGTGTGTGGTGTGTGTGTGTGTGTGTGTGTGTGGTGTGTGTGTGTGTGTGTGTGTGTGTGTGTGTGTGTTACTGAGGAATCGTCTCATGCATGCTAGGCAAGCACTCTACCACCAAGCCATATTCTCAGCCCGAGGCTGTTTTCAAAAACAATATTTGTTTCTGAAGTCTTTAAAAATAATAAGGCTCCATACCTACCACATCAATAAAATGTGGGGCTTCTCAAGTACAAATGCATAGCCTTGACCCGGAAGGTTCTTGTTCCGTTTCAGGAAGGAATTTGTAGTGACTTTCAGTGAGCTGCTCCAGGGGAGGGATGGAGGTGGCTGGCGGCTGGTGTGGAGGGCACGGTGCTCACTGAGGTGGGCCTGAGGGAGTGTGCATTTAGGGTATGGGTTATTCTGGTAAGGGTGGTGTTTAATTGAAGGTATGGGTCCTTAAGGTTTTGGCAGGAGTCTTCTTGAAAAGTCTTAAGAGAACAATGGAGAAGACAAAAGTGTAACCTGAGCCGGTTGATCCAGGTGGCTCTTCAGAATGTGGTTGCTGTAGGGTGGCTGGGAGGAGGGACAGGCTTGGTTGACCTCAGGTGATTCATTGTTTTAGACCACCTTTGCCATGACAACATTTTTTTTTTAAGCAGGGTCTTGCTGTGGACTTCAGCTGGCCTTAAACTCACCATCAACCTACCTCACCCTCCTGGGTGCTTAGATTTCAGGCCTGCACTACCACATTCGGCCTTCTTGTGGGGCTTCTAGGGTTTTCTACAGGCGTTAGTCTGGCCTCGGAGTTTTCCCCCTCAGCTCTACCCCGCCCTGGGCTGGCACAGTCAGCGTATGCTCACCCAGACGAGACTGTTGTGGCCTGCCATGTTCAGGTCACTTGGAAGACTGAAATGATCCTAGCTGGTGCTTTTGAACTCGTCTTCGAGCCTCGCAGCCCTTCCTGGCTTGTAGAGGTTGTGGTGGTCACTTTGCTTCTAGTTCTGCCCACAGCTTCTTTTTCAGGGCTGCCCCCCCCTCCCCTTTTTGGTGCCAGTCTTGGGGCTTGAACTCAGGGCCTAGACTCTGTCTCTGAGCCCAGGCTGACACTGCACCACTTAGCCACAGCTCTACTTCCAGCTTTTTTGGGTGTTTAATTGGAGGTAAGACTCTCAATGGACCTTCTCGCTTGGGCGGTGTCCAGTGCCAGCTGTTTTTCCCCTTTTTGGTCCTCTGTTTTCTGTTTCTGCCTTCTCCTGTGAGCACAGATTGCACTGGCACCCAAGAACAGGCAAGCCTCCTGTTTGTCCTTGCTCACAGTGCAGTGGAGTTAAACCAGTCAGATGGTGGGGGGGGGGGCACTTTTTAGTTGCATATCTCCAAATTCCACACCAAGAGGAGAGAAGTTTTCTTTTTTCCTTTCTCCCGAGGTATAAGAAAGTTCCAGGGGCTTGTCCCCCAGCCTGGCCTGTGTTGACAGAGGAGGGGGTTTGGGACAGAACACTGAGGCAGTTTGGCAACAGCACCTCGGTTCTATCTGGAGAGATTTGCCCCGAGCTATGGTGAGCAATTGTCTGACGCAGACAGCTGAAATCCTGGGAAGTAGATGAATGAAACTGCTGTGGAGCAACAGCTTTGGCGGCCGACCTCCCATGGCTCCTAGTGTGGGCAAATCCTGTCCAGCACCTTCTGAAGGTGAAGGTCCTGCGCTTCTAGGAAGCCTGAGTCTTTCCAGAGTCAGCATGTGATTCCCCTTCTCCGTTGAAGGGTCTGTTGAGACTGATGGAGGCTCCAGGGCAAGAGGAAGTGCTGAGTGCTCAGAGGTGGAGCGGGTTTCACCACGGGCTTGTTAGACCTGAAGGCAGAGGGTTGGGTATCCTGTGCATGATGAAACTTGCAGGTGTATTGTGCTTCAGGATTGCATGTCTCCTTTGATGCAGTTGGCTCCGTTTTTATCCACCTGTTCATTAGTGTGGGTTAGGCGAAACAGGTGAACCCTGAACAAGTCCCATCGAAACTAGGGTTGGTTTTATTTCCCTTGAAGCACCGGTCTCTTGGCTCCTTGGGAGGGAGACAAGTGCTTGGCAGCTCTGCCTTGCTGGTGTCCCCGTGGTGCTCTTTACCTTGTTTTGTACAACACCCTTTTGTTCAGCCCCATTTTGGGCATTAGGTTTAAATGCAAATTGAGGAGATTCAAGGAAGGAAAACAATTACTAAAAATAAAAATTGTCGTTTGAGTTTTCTCATTCTGCTCACCTGATGGCCCCTATGGTTTTCCCACTCTGATTCCAGTCTAATGTGATGGATCCTTCCTTCCTCCCTGCCTCTTCCTCTTCCACCTCCTCCTCTTCCTTCTCTGCCTCCTCCTCCTCCTCCTCCTTTTTTTCCCTTTCTTCCTATTTGCCAGACCTTGGGCTTGAACTCAAGGCGGCCTCGGCACTGTCCCATAGCTTCTTTTGCTCAAGGCCAGCACTCTTAACACTTGAGCCACAGCACCACTTCCAGTTTTTTCTGTTTTATGTGGTACTGAGGAATTGAACTCAGGGCTTCATGGATTCTAGGCAAGCTCTACCACTAAGCCACATACCCAGCCCTAACATGATTTTTCTTTGTTCTCTCTGGTGAGTGGGAAGAGACAGGCGCTTCTGAAGCCAGACTGCTGGCAATGAAGGCTACCTGAATGGGCCACATCTCCCTTCATAGTGGGGTTGCTCATGTATGT